CTTTGGTTTGCTTCAGAATTTCTTTCAAGTATTAAATAGACAGAAAAACACAGAGCTACTATAAACATCCAAATACATAACAGTTCATTTATCTTTTCTTTCATCAAAACAATCATATACAATACAATCTATGGCTTCAGACAGAAATAACAGAACAGAACAGAAAAGTCATGACTGTACCAAAAATAAAAGTATAAAATACTTAATCTTAGATCAAACACAGAACTTATAGTCCAAGACTTCCTTCCCTTTCCCAAAACCTGAAAACCACACAGAAAATAATGATGAGCTAACAGCTCAGCAAGACATCACTCACCAATCAAAATAGTCAGAAATTCACATCAGAAAATACATAAGAAAATAGCCATACGGAAATCATATAACAGACAAAACAGATACTTGATCAATCAGAAATTATCTTACGATACAGAAAACTGAAGTCATTTCAAATCAGAGTTTAGAACAGATATTATAAAGCTTTCAAATCACAGAGCAGAAAGAATTGTACATAAATCAGAAATCATATATCGGATAATTCATAAAACAGACCAGATAAGTCATAGAACAGATTATCATATATTAAACATCAGATTCCCTGACTCTGACAGAATCTCAACGGATTCTGGCCCCTTATGCCTCCCTTCCCTGACACAGATAGAATCTCGACGGATTCTGACCCCTTATGTCTCCCATTGTGCTTATAGCACAAGAATATAATAGATATTCAGAATTTCCTGAACATAACTTATTTTCAGATTTTAGAGCTCATTTCAGATTTCCCGGACCCAGACAACGGAATCACATAGGATTCCGGCCCCTTATAACTCCCTTCTGATAGCATGCATGCATCAAAGCATTCAAATCAGAACACCAGATTTCGTCAGAAAATCCGTCAGCGACATAACGGCAGTATACAAAATTTACTCAAAAATCACAGATTCAGAAATTTACCAAATTATCATAGAATATCCACAACAACATTATAAGACTTTCATTGTACTGAAGTAACATTTTTCAACATCCTGATAATTCGTAATTCAATTAAAATGCTGCAGAATTCAAAATATCCGATAAAAATCTTCCAGAAAATACTCAAAACGTGCAGAAATATCATCTCAGAAACGTATCAAAATTTACGCGGTAAAACATTTATCAGAACGAAATAAAATCAATTATTCGCTAACGGAAACAAAATTCGAGACAGAAAAGTCGTCAAAATTCTCAT